GATGATGGGCTCGAGTATAGCATGGATTGTGGGGCTGGTGCGGGATCGGGCAGTGTTTCGTTCTGCTGTGCATGGGGTCGCTATGAGTCGGAAACGACTCAACGGCACTTAACAACAACAACAACATTGTATATGAAAAGCTCTGTTGGTGCAGTGGTTAAGGCTTTTGCTTGCTAAGGTAAGGTGGATGGTTCAAATCCATCAGCTGCTCTGTGAGACAAAGATGAGGCATTCTGCTTCCGTAAAGATTTATAGCCTTGGAAACCACAAGGGGCAGCTCTGTTATGTCTTATAGGGTCTCTATGAACAGAAACTGATTTGATAGCAGTGGGCTTTTAAATTTTTTTGTATTGTGTATAGGTTTTTATTGTAAGCTTCTTTAATTCAATTTTCAAAGTAGGTGAGATGTGAATTTTTATTTGAAGTCATAAAAATATCTTCATTTATTCCATTTCTTTTCTTTCATTGATTATATTTAAAAGGTAAATTCTTAAGAGGTAATTCCTAACTCTTCAGAATTGCCAAGTAAGTTTTTACCATATTTTAAAATTGAACATTTATATTTTGGGTATATTTATAAGTAAATATTAAAAGTTGCTCTCTATAATGGAATGTATCAAATAACTTATTAAATTATACTTTTGTTCATAATTCAGCTTCAGATGTAAAATGGTAATTCCAAACATGCTTCATTCATTGGTTCTAGCTACTTGCTGTGTAAGGCTTGACTGAGTCTGTTTTACAAATATAAATGATAAATATTAAATGCTGTATAAAATGCAACCACAATTTAATTAATAGTGTGTAGTCAGAATCCATCCTGCTGCTTCCTAAGAGCAAACTTTCAAATTAAAAGTCTTAAAACAATTTTACTGAAATATAAATTGAAAATTAATTTACTGTATTGCTAATTATTCTTTACCATACTTCTCTGTAGAGAATGAAACTCTAAGCCTATTCTAGAGCATGTTATAATCAATGTAAATACTTTCAAAATACTTCTCTCTCTGTTTGTAGTCAAGGAGTTTTCAAATTCTCTAACTCTGTGCTGTGATAATTTTAGAAATTGTACAAATTTTTTATGTACTAAAATGAACCATTTTGTCTTTTAAATTTGTAGTCGCAGATATGGCCAATACACTATGAACCAGGAAAATACCGCCAAAGTTACAGAGAAGATACCATTCGACCGATCAAATTCCCAGGATTCTTTGGATGAATTACCTATGGAAGACTATTGGACAGAACTTGAAAACATCAAGAAATCTAGTGAAAATAGACAAGAAGAGCAAGAGGTGGTCATTGTGAGGGAGCCTGATGGTAATAACTAACTAACTAAAACTTGTTGTGTGAGGGCATATATATTTATGGGAAGGAACGCAAGGAAAGAAGGAGAGAAAGAATAAGTAACTGAAACTAAGATAACCTAAAAGACAATGTTAGTTACCTTCCAATTTGAAAGTTACTTGATTTTATTTAGCAGCTTTAAGAATATATCTGTCAAATAAAAGTTACATGAGTAAATTCTCTTGATTCTGGTTATGACTAGAATCTTGCTGGTGAAGCCTACTGTATCATAGACTCTTAAGATTAGACTTAATGGTTGAAATTGTTTAAATTCCCCTTAAATTCCTTCTGTGATATCCTAGCCGTGTGCTCATTTGGCCTCCAAAGTGGGCATGAAAAGCTGTGCAGTGAGAGGGTTTTCCCAGTCATCAGTCAGCGTGAGTTGTTTAATCTTCTTTATTTTAGTGATTTGCCATCTGCTTTACTCTAAGGTTCCCTTGCCATAGTCTTGCTTCTGGAAGAGCAGAGTGAGTCTAGTCTACTTTAAATATTTGAGAATAGTTATCTTGTTCCTGGTCAAGTCCTTTTTAGAAGGAAAGGCAATCTTCGTGGGTGGTTTTCAGAACTATTCCTATGTTCCTCATCCTGGCTTTCAATGTTTGTCTATTCCAGATTAGGTGAAATGCCACAGGTTTAGCCATTTAGTAAAGGCTATAGGTTTGGACAATGTTAAGAGGGTATTAACTTTTTTTTTTTTTTTAATTGTGATTTGGGTGAAAATTTACAAGAGGGTATTAACTTTTATAGTCTCTATACTTGTTTTTTTCTTCTATGTTGTCCATAATTTCTCTAAAGTCTTTACAGACATATTTCCCACAGGCTGAACTACTATACTTGATGTTCTGGAAGAAAACTACAAAATTTTACATTCCTTTAATTACGTATTATCTTTTTAACCAATTTGATTCAAGCAGTCACCAAGTTTTTGACACCCAATTCTGTCATCTGCTCTATTATTTCTCTTCCTATACTTTGTGCCACTTATAAAATTTAAACCTTAAAATTTAAACAAAAATGGAAAATTTTTGTAAATGCCAGACATAAAAGAAGTACTATCAATGACTTGTGACCCACTACTACCAGAGGCCTGCTTCTTAGGGGAACACCTACTTAACTAAAGGGCTTGAGGCCTGTTATTTAAGTAGCTAAATCTATGTAAGTGGGTTTTTCTCCCTTGTTACAATGTTACTTTTAAAAAATCTACCAATGATACTTTAAAAGGGAAAATCAGGAATTTTCCTTCATTTAACATTTCTTCAATGAAAAAAAAAATATATATATATACATATATATATATATAGTCATCTCATTCTTTTGTTTAGCTTCCCTATCATTTTACTTTCATTCTTTCTCAAATACATTACGAGCAAAATTGAGTTTATTTATGATAATCAATAATACCTCAGACTTCCTGTCTCTCTGTTTCAAGACAGAAGCAGCACACAAGTGGTCTGCTGGATAAGAGAACAAGTTAGAGAAAGCCACATTCAAGACGACATAACCGATAGTCATTAGCTGTTTCATTATCCTTCCAGGTTAAAATAAATTCAAATATTACTATTTACTGTGTGATCATCAAAAAGACTGGGAATGATTCTGCGTTTCCAGGCCCTTTCTTCAGTTTTAAGTTGATTGAATTTTACTTCTACTTATTAACAGAGCAAGTAACCATTATAGTAAAGCTTGTTTGTCTTCTTTATCCTAGCAATACCAGTTTTATTTTTTAACAACTTGGCTTTGTATAAAAACCAAAACTCACTGCCATCAAGTTGATTCCAACTCATAGTAACCCCCATTTGATTTCTGAGGTGATAAATCTTTACGGAAATAGATTGTCCCATTTTCCTTCCACAGAGTGGCTGGTGGGTTTGAACAACCAACCTTCTGCTTAGTAGTCAAATGCCTTAGGTACAGCACCACCAGGGCTCCTCTGGTTTTACATACGGGTGTATATATACTCTGGTAGCATAATGCCTAAGGCAATTGACTGCCAACCAGAGGCTGGCGGTTCAAAGCCACCAGCCACTCCTCGGAAGGAAGGTTGGGAAATCTACTTCCGTAGCGATACTGCCTTGGAAACCCAAGGAGGGGTCGCTGAGTCGGGTCCGACTTGAAGGTGCATAACAAGAACAACAACATATATACTTATATACCAGTACTGAATTCTACCTAAACAGCATTAATAATAATGATTTACATTTCAATAAACAGTTTTTGTTGCCTTATACACAGAATGGCTGGCCCCAGGTTATGGTTTTTAAAGCCACTCTTATTAATAATTGATTTTTGCTTTCAAGGATTATAGTTTAGAAGGATAATCAGGCAATACAATCAAGTCTTACACCAAGTAATATGGGCTATAATAGTGCTTTTTTTTTTTTTTTTTTAATTAAGATTTGGGTGAAGATTTACAGAGTAAATTCACTTTTCATACAGCAGTTCACACATACTTTGTCTCATGTCATTGACCATAATTTACAATGCAACAGCTCCCCTCCCACTTCCTCCCCATAGTTACCTCTTCCCAGTGTCTATCCCTCCATACTCTTCTGCACCCTGGGCTATCTCCCTGTGCATAAGCAGCCCTTCCTTCTCTCATGATTGTTCTCTCCAGGGCATGTGTCTACTTGAGGTAAATGTTTAACTCACATGCCTGTACTTTGTTTGGCTGGAAACCACAGTTGTGGGTTCAATTCCAGACCTGAAGGGCAGCTAGGGGCCATAGTCTCAGTGGTTACACCAGGCTCCATTGGACCAGCAAACCTGGTCCCCATCTTCTTTTTTTTTTTTTTTTTTCCTCCAAATGATTTTGAGTTTTGTTCCACATTGTTCTCCCTCTCTATGCAGGATCTCCTACATCCCTTCCAAGTGGATGGCAGTGGTAGCTGGGCACCATCTAGTTCTTCTGGTCTCATAGTTGTATAGGTTGCAGATCAGATGGTGTACCAGTCGCTAGGACTGATTGTTTCCATTAATTTTGGTTTTCTTCTTTCTTCTTGACGAGGAGAGACCCGTTGTTGCATCTAGATGGCAGCTTCCTATAATAGTGCTTTGCAAAGCTCTTCCCACATAACATTCTCACATTTGATTATAAGGTAGGCAGAGCAGCTATGCTGGAGTTTACAGATGAGAAAATGAAGGCTGCTTGAGGCACAGTGACTTGTACAAAGCAACATGGCTATCAGGGTGGAGAGATGGGGTCCAAAACCAGGTCTTCTTTGTCCTAAGTCTGTATTTTCGCTTTCCTCTCTTACTTACAAACATTGTTCTTGGAGTGAATCAGTTCTAGTTATCTTTCTCTTTTGGCATAATTAGACTCTACACTATATTTGCTTTACTGTTTACTTCCTACTTCCAGTATTTTGAAGTGATTCAGTTATTTAATTAGTTTTCTGTAGTAAGCCCTTTGCTGAAATATCGTTTGCTGCTCTTTTTCTTAATTTGTTAAAATAACATGAAATCTGACGTGCTGACTAGGAGGATTAAAAAATTAATTTGGAATTGATTAGTTCCTGATGTACAGATGCTCTTTACTTCTTTCCACACTCCCTATCAGCTACAGTGAACAGAAAACAAATATTTCTGTAAATTAGTGTTGCACTCTGGAGTATTAGACACTGGATGAATTTAAGCCAAGAACCGGGCTTTAACGTATGTTCTCAGCATTAACTTCCTTTTCTGCAACTCAATGGAAGTTATCTTTTCATTGCTTGCTGATCTCTGGAAGGGAAACAGTATCATCTTCCCTAGTTAATCTGCAGGGAAGTTGTAGAGGTTAATTACATGTGAAGTCATTTAAAATTTTTAATTGAGTATATATGAAATGGATCTAAAATTTGATATCTTTGTGGCTGGAGTTTATGGCAGTTGTCCAAGTTTCAGGTAATGATTCTTAGCACTGTGGTTTGTTTGTAATAGAAGGGTTTAGGTAAGAGTTTTTAACTGCTTAAAGAATTTGAAAGTTCTCAGATTTTTAAAACTTAAATACCATTTTTCTCTACTGTCTTAGAAGGAGAATTGGAAGAAGAATGGCTAAAAGAGGCCGGTTTGTCCAATCTCTTCGGAGAGTCTGCTGGTGATCCCTACGAAAGCATGGTGTTCTTATCAACATTGACTCGGACCCAGGCAGCAGCTGTTCAGAAAAGGGTAGAGACAGTCTCCCAGACCTTGAGAAAGAAAAACAAACAGTACCAGATTCCTGACGTCAGAGACATATTTGCTCAACAAACAGAGTCAAAGGAAAAAGTAGGTTTTTGTTTTGCTTTGTTTTTACATTGTTGTTGTTATGTGCTTTCGAGTCAGACCCAACTCACAGTGACCCCTCCTTGGATTTCCCAGGCAGTATCACTACGGAAGTAGATTCCCCAACCTTCCTTCTGAGGAGTGGCTGGTGGGTTTGAACTGTCAGCCTTCTGGTTAGCAGTCAAGTGCCTTAGACACTATGCTACCAGAGCTCAATTCAGTTTAGTTCAAATCATTAAAAACTTACTGGTCATCTCTCATAATCTAGGCACTGAAGCTCCAAGTTGGCACTGAGCAAGTGACTTAAACCTTGCCCTCCTGGGAGTTATCTTGATGGGGCAGAAAATTAAGTGAATTAAAATTCAGTATGATACTCCTTGTGTTGGGGGAAGTTGGTGCACTTGGTGCATTAAAGGTGGGTCTAACCTCATTAGGGTAAGGAGCTGTGATGGCTCAGTGCTTAAGGCATTTGACTGATAACAAGATGGTTGGTGGTTCAAACTTACTAACACTCCACTAAACTCATTAGGATGATAGGGAAGGCTTCCCAAACAATGTGACTGCAAATTGGTGATTATGGAAAAGTACTATGTAGATGGTTGTTATCTATTAATTCTTATAGGAATATTTAATTTTTTATAGTCTCCTTTCAGAATGAATAGAAGTAGAGTGTGAGGGAGATAACTGCAGCTGAGTTACAAAGTAGGAATCCTGAGACATGAGAAATTCCTTTTTATGCCTAGTGCTAAGCACAGAGCATATCATAGAAGATGTCAGAATACATTTGCTAAAATGATTAATTTATTGATGGAAGCCAGTGGAGTCTGGTGGAGACTGTAGGACTCACAAGTGAAGTGATACAGAGGAAGGTCTGGTAGAGAGGTAGAAGGCTTGTGTGATCTGCAACGGTGCCACCCCAAAACAGCCATTTGGTGAACTATTTGTTCCTCCTCTCTGAGGAAATAAGGAGCTTGCTCTGGAACATAAATTAATGTCTTTCCTATATCAAGAAAGTCTTCCACCTGCATCATACTGCCATAGGGAGAGGGAGAAAAAGTCACCTGAACCTAAATAGTGAGCATAGGGTCAAATTTGATTTACTTCTGATCTATCCACAGACCATACTTTGGGTAGCTTTGGTTAGAGACTCAATGGAGTTGTTGGAATGAGACCAAAGAAAGGGATGATGATTGTAATTCCCCTTATGTCAAAAGTAATTGTTATCACCATTATCGAACACTTATGTGTTAATTACTATTGCATACCTTATCTCATTTAATTCTCACAGCCATCCTGTGAATGCGGTATTATCATTTCCATTCAATAGCTGAGTCTCATAGACTTTAAGTAACTTGCTCAGTATCCTGTAGATGTTGTTGTTGTTATGTGCCCTTGAGTCAAACCTGACTCAAAGCAATCCCTCCTTGGGTTTCCCAGGCAGTATCACTACGGAAGTAGATTGCCCAACCTTCCTTCCCAGGTGTGGCTGGTGGGTGTGAACTGCCAGCCTTCTGGTTAGCAGTCAAGTGCCTTAGGCACTATGCTACCAGAGCTCCTATCCTATAGATGGTAAATCCAAATCTATCTGACTCTAAAATATGTGCTGTTAACCACTCTCCATCCTGCTATATTTGGATTTAGGTTTCTATACATGATTCAGATATTAAACAAATCTGAATATGAGATTCTATTTATATTATAAATACATGGCAACAAAAACTGTGATTCTTTAGCAAAAATAGTGGGAGAAAATGGCTTATATTTAAGCCTGAGCTTTTTTTTACTGTTTATACACATTTTATTCTTCAGAAAAATTCTTGTAGCTGCAGATTGCTACTCCATTTGCATGGCCAGTTTTGGATCAAACCCAATCCACTTATGGGAGTTTGGGGACTGGTAGATTTCTACAGGCAGGTCTGCTGCTGTGAGGCAGTTAAGCAGTTATCTACCACCCAGAGGTTCTGTGGGACATTCACTGGAGTTGAAGGACTAGTCTACATTTCCAGCTATAGAAAAAGAAATGGTAGGGAAATGAAGTATTATGACATTTTCTTCCCAATTAAAGACCTTTCCCCACCAAGGGAGTTAAAAGGAAGTGGAAATGGAGGAGAAGGTAGAGAGCTCAGCCTGAGCAAAAGATACACTGTGGGCAGAGTCTCTTCTGTGAGATTCCTGCCAGTCTCCAGGAGAATGTGGTTATTCCATGCAAGAAACAGCATTTTCCAGCAAATTCCTGGGTTATCTAATCCACATGGTTTGAGTCCAGGGTAATTGGTGAATCATATCATGTAGAGTCATTGAGAGAAACAGCATAAGTAAATTAATGTTAACTTGCTTACACTTCATGCCTTAATTGAAACACTGCCACTCATTAGAAATTTGTTTTATATCCCCTATCCCTCGAGCAAACGTGGGCCCCCATCCTCATGTGCAGTTCTTCTTTTCTCAGAGTTAGAATATGTTCAACTCTTCCATTTTAAATGCTTCCTCATGAATCTCTTGCTGACACTAGGAAATATAATACAGAAATGAATACCATCTGCATTGTCATCTTCAATTGCTGAGAAAAATAATTCTAACCACATACTCCAAAATATGTGTTCAAATATAAGAGTAGAATCACTCATGTGCTCCTTGTGCCATGGAGCTTGTGGGCAGAGGGGAAGGGGAAGGTATTGCCGTCGTCTGAGGTGATTGAAGTGGTGGTGGGCATCCTTGTATCACTTTTGTGATTTGGTAGCCACGGTGCAGTCCTGGGAGTTCTGGTAACATAGTGCCTAAAGCATTTGACTGCTAACCAGAAGGTGGCAGTTCAAACCACCAGCCACTGCTTAGAAGGAAGGCTGGGCAATCTACTTCCGTAGTGATGTTGTTGTTGTTATGTGCCGTCGAGTCAGCCCTGACTCATAGCGACCCCTCCTTGGGTTCCCGAGGCAGTATCACTACGGAAGTAGGATTGCCCAACCTTCCTTCCGAGGAGTGGCTGGTGGGTTTGAACCGCCAGCCTTCTGGTTAGCAGTCAAGTGCCTTAGCCACATACTGCCTGGGAAACCCAAGGAGGGGTCGTTATGAGTCAGATTCATCTCGACGGCAGTGAGTTTGGTTTTTTTTGGTTGTGGACTGTCCTGGGTACTACCAGTTTTTAAGAAGTACACTAGTAGCTTATCCACACCTGCCTCAGTGCTTTCCTAGATATTTCTTAGACTTGAGGTGGAATGAGGAGTCCTTTGTGGCCAACAGCTTGAGGAGATATGTGTGGTTATTACTTTAAAAATCATTCATTCAGATAGACCTCTTAGTATAATCCATCCATCTTTCCCTTTCTGATCCCTGGATTCCTTTTGAACCCATGCTAAGAAAGGAGGCCTCACTTACTAGGAGGGAGGCGAACCATATTTTACCATGTCTGTAAACTCTTGGAGGGTTACATTCTTCAGACATCACTGCCTCAACCCTTGAAAAGGAGTCTCTTCAAACTTCATAGTTTTCGTTGCCTATTTGGTAATTTAGCTTTAATTATCTCATATTTATTACTACTAGCTGTTTGTCGGTGATGGTGGTTAATTTTAAAGAAATTCTATTTTGTTACGTATATGTCACCTTGTATTTTTTAACAGTGTTATTGAGATATCATTCCCATATGTTATAGTTTACCTACTTAAAGGGTACAATTCAGTGGCTTTTTATATATCCACAGTTGTGCAATCTTCACCACAATTGATTTGAGCACCTTTTTTATACCCCAAAAAGAAACTCCATACTGGCCAGTAGGCACTCCTCATTTCCTCACAGCCCCTCTCTTACCCCCAGCCTCAGGCAGCCTCTAATCTACTTTCTGTCTCTTTGTATGTACCTATATTGGACATTTCAGATAAATGGAATCATCAAAGATGGGAGCCATCGTGACTGGCTTCTTTCACTCAGCATTGTGTTTTCACTGTCCATCCAGTGTTATGTCTTACCAATCACAGGTAATCATATATTTGTCAGATGATTGCTTGTTGATTATAGCCATACTTTTTCCACCCCCACTGTGATTCTCATAACTCTGAGTGTATACCTTGTACTCTAAAGGTTGGAAATGGAATTATTTGCAATATAATTTTCTCTGGTTGTGAGCTGGAGATGACTAAATGGCCCATTTTCTATCTTTAGGCTCCAGATGGCACGGAATCTCAGTCAGTCAGAACAAACGAAAACAAACACCAAGGAAAAGATGGTATGTTGGACATGTTCTCCTGTATTTTCCCATTTATTACTATAACAAACAGATAGAACCTTTTAAAACAGTCCTCCTCAATTCTAGTAAACAAATTGTATTAAAATACTAAGGTGCAGTAAGTACACGGATGATTGCATGAGGCTGAGTGTATAGTGAGCCCTCAATTTCTTTATCTTTGTAGCTGTCTATCTGTTCCAACAGTTATGTGCACATTCATATCCCTCCGAGATGTTTACCACATGCCAGACATTGTACACAGAGGTTTACCTCGTTTAATACACTCAAGAACCCAACCTAGCAGTTACTTGCCTTAGTTCTCTAGTACCACTGTAACAGAAATACTACAAGTAGATGGCTTTAGCAAACAAATTTTTTTCTCACAGTTTGAGAGGCTAGACTGTGAATTCAGGCTGCTGGCTCTAGAGGGAGGCTTTCTCTCTCTGACGGCTCTGGCGGAAGGCCCTTGGCCCTTCTGAGCTTCTGTGTCTGGGCAGTCTTTCTGTGGCTTGGCATCTCTCTTTCCTTTGCTCTGCTCTGCTCACTTTTTTCATATCTCTTGTATCTCAGAAGAGACTGACTCAAGATATACCCTATACCAATCCTGTCTCATTAGCATCAAAAAGAAAACCTATAAAGAAACGGGATTATAACCACAGTCATAGAGGTTAGGCTTTACAACATATATTTTCTGGGAACACAATTCAAACCATAACAGTATTGTTCTTAACCCATTTTATGGATGAGAGAACTGAGGCTTAGAGATATGAAGTCACTTTCCACAGGTCACACATATGGTAGGGGAAGCCAGAACTTCTGTTTGCTTAGCCTTCATCATAATTCCTAACAAGGGAGTGATTTAACTTTAATTATCTCACATTTAATCACTGGTTTTTGTAATTTTAAAGAAATTTTATTTTTCTTAGCTACAACTAAGCACCTTGAGAGAATGAGTAAACTTTTTTAAAAAACTATATTTCATTACTTATATATTAAGCCGATAATTTTGTTTTATAACAACATTAAGATATCATTCTCATACCATACAAATCACCCTCTTCTAGTGTATTTTGCTTCAATGGTATTTGGAAACTTGTTCTCAAATCACAAGTCCTTAATTCATAAATGGATTTATTTTCAGACATTTCTTGCATAGTTGATTAAAATTCTCCTTTTTTTTTCCTTTTCCTTTTCCATATTTGTTACTTCAGAAATGAATTAGAAATTCAAAGCATGGATGGAAATAAATATGAAGTTTATTAGTATTTTATGAAAAAAGGTGTTATAGCTATTTCATTTGTTTATGAAAAAGAAAAATATCCTAAATTAACGGCATAGAGTTAAGCTTATACATTTGGTCCTTAATGTATTTTTATTTTAAAAATTATGACAAAGGTAGTCTATGGCTGCTGGAGTCCAGTTCAGGGACTTGTTCTTTTTTCTTGTTTAGATTTTTGACATCTGATACCTGGAGTGGTCATGTCATCAGTTGTATTATGTTTGGATGGTGATTAGTGGGAAAATAGGTGTCAGATAAACTGTGAAGCACTGAGAGTTATGGGATCCCAGCCTTCCTACAAGAATCACCTGTCAGTCGAAGATTGTCTGGGGCATTTTGGAGTCTTTGCAAATTCAGTATCTCTAAGGTTCCTTTTATATTCTTCTTAGGACTTCTATCCTGCACTCTTGAGTGAAACAAAACAAGTCTCTACATGCTGTTGTCGTTGTTAGCTGCTATCAGGTTGGCCCCTGACTCATTATGACCCATGCACAGTGGAACGGAATGCTGCCTGGTTCTGTACCGTCTCCACGACCACTTACAGATCAGACCATTGGGGTCCACAGGGTTTTCTCTGGCTGATTTTTTGGAAGTATATTGCCAGGTTTTTTTTCCTAGTCTGTCTTAGTATGGAAACCGCACTGAAACCTGTTCAGCATTGGAGCAGCACCCAAGCCACCACTGACAGATGGGTGGTGGCTGTTCATGAGGTGCATCGGCCAGGAATTGAAAGCAGGTCTCTTGCGTGGAAGGCAAGAATTCTACCACTGAACCGCCACTGTCCCCATGTATCTAGATAGAGTAATTCAAACCCACCAGCCACTCCTCGGAAGGAAGGTTGGGCAATCCTACTTCCGTAGCGATACTGCCTCGGAAACCCAAGGAGGGGTCGCTATGAGTCGGGGCCGACTCGACGGCATATAACAACAACAACAACAACATATAATATATTATATATGCTTGCATGTGTGTATATACACACATTTGTTGTTCCTGTGTGCCATTGAGTCAATTCCAACTGTAGCAACCCTGTAACATCATGTTAAACCACCCATAGGGTTTCCAAAGCTGTAATCTATAAGGAAGCAGACTGCCATATTTTTGTTCCATAGAGTGGCTGGTGGGTTCAAATCTCTGAACTTTTGGTTAGTAGCTTAGAACCATCGAGCCACCAGGGCTCCTTCATATATACACATACATAAGCACTTACTATTTACTATTATTTGGTGGATGTTTCTCTCAATGACATGTTTTATATCAGGATGGAATTACTGGGTATTTCCTCAGATCTGTGTACCAGTAACCATTTATGTGGCAAGCAAGTTAGCTTGACTAATCAGCACTGGGCTGCTGGAGAACTGGGTCATCAGGGGAGATGCTCCTTCTGTGCCAATGCCAATATGCTTTGGGGAAGAGTGGCAATAGCTAAACAGATACCGAGGGAAACATGGTCTTTTCTTAGTGTTTTCCTCCCTCACCAGAGATTGTAATGCAGGCTATATAAACAGAAGTTCTGAAAGACAAGTTCATTATATGAGTGCTTTGTAGCCTAGCTTGCAGGAGGCAAGTGAAATGTGACAAATTGCTGCCTGATTTACATCTGCTTTTGCTGGAATGCTATGAAGTGGGCAAAGAGCCTCAAATCAGAATAACAAGAGAATCTGTGTAAAGCCATCCAAGTCACGGAGTATTTACTACTGCACCTGTTCTGGGCAATGCCATGCTCTTTTGCTAGCCAGTGAATTAACCAGTGCTATGCAAACATTGGAAGGTTTGGAATAAAATGCA